CTGTATTTATAGTCATTGTGATATTTTGTTATTGCTGTTAAGCTCAAATATTTAATGAATCAATAGAGGAATTTCTACAGTCTCTCATGCTCTGGTGAGCTGCTTTCGCTGGTTCCCAGACTTCATGAATTTAAGTGTTCTACTAGGCTGGCATCTCACTCTCACCCTTTTACTGTTGAAATGTAGCCGTCTCTTCTACTCCAAAAGTTTCATGTCTTGCACTTCTCACCAGTGGAACTCCCTCCCCATTTCTTGTTTTCCTGATAGATATAATCTCCAATTATTCAAATGTAATGTCAATCGACGTCTCCAGATGCCCTGATCTATCCCCTTCTCTTCATCCTTTCCTCTATCACTCCTCTTTGCTCTCGCTCCAACTCTCTATAACCCCTTGCGTGCTAGTGGCTTCCCGCCTTGCTTGGGGTTGAATGCTTGAAGAAAAAAAAAAAAAAAAAAAGAAAGATATTTTATAGCCATTTTTCATGGAGCTTATTCAATTATTAAATTAAGAATTAGGATTCATCAGAAAATTAAAATAGGAGAACCATGAAATTTTTTCACCGGTACTGCTACTCTTTAAATGCTTATAAAATCTAAAGAGTACAAAGTCTAATTATGTACTTGGTTACTTAATATTAAAATAGAATAAGAGTGGGAGATGAAACGAGGAAAAAAAAGACGAAATCTAAAAAAAAGCAATAGTTCCAAATAATTTATAATAATGTAGCTTGAACTGAAGGGAGCATTTATCTAAAAAAACGTCACACATCAAGGCCTGGCAACAAGAGAGAGGAAACTATTTGCTTGTGACTGAAACCAGATTTGTAATATCATAAATAATGTATGCTATAGTATGCCATTCATCTGCACAATACCCTTGAAAACTGAATAGACAATCAGTGCTACTACTATAGATGCAGACAAGCCATTCATGTACCAAAATATATTGATCAGTCAAACACACAGACAAGTTAGCTTACACATTAACAAATAGAAGCTACAGCAGGCAGTATCCATTGAATTTATTTTGCTGACTGGTATTATGAACTGGAGGTTGATCACTGAAAGCTTGATTTAAACAGGTAGATGGTTGAGATAAGGTTGAGTTTTCTCAAATAAATAAATAAATAATAATAATAATCTAAAATAAACACTCTTGTGAATTAATTTTTTTTTTTTCAATTCCATAAGCTAGTAAAAAAAATTTATCAAAAGAAATTTTGTTACAATTACTTTTAAAAAATTATTAAAAAAAATAAATAACTAATAAAAATAAAAACTTTAGACCTGGAACAGGAATTTACAAAATATACAATAAATGAAATATCCATGAAATACACTGGGGAAACATCTAGAAAATTTAAAATAATATTAAAAAAATAAATAAATGAATTTATTATTATGCCTCTTGATTCCTGAGGGAACATAGGGCTGCAGCAACACCTCCCCAACAGATGCAATTCTGGGCGATCCTCTTCAGCTTGGCCCATGTCATGCCAGTCGCCTTCATCACTGTATCAACACTTCTGTGCCAAGTCTGTTTTGGTCAAATCACTTTTTGCTTTCTTTGTGGATTCTAGTCAAGGGCCTGCATGATGACTCAAGAAGCAGGCCTGCAGAGTGTTTGGTCGATCCATCCCCATTTTCATTTCTTGATGTTAATCTTGATTGGGACTTGTCTGGTCCTGTCTCACAGTTGATCATTGGAGACGACTTCCAGCCACCTGATACTGAGGATGCTCCTAAGACATAGGTTGGTAAATGTCTGAAGTTTGTGGGTGCTGGTCATCGTTACCTGCCAGATTTCTGAACCATAAAGTAGGACTGACTTGACGTTGGTGTTGAAGATCTGGATCTTCTTGTAAAGTGAGAGGGTTGTTGATCTCCAGATTGGCCGCAGAGTGTTGAAATAAATAAACATATGAACACAAAAGGGTTCTTTTACAAAACATCTAGTTCAAGGAAAGTTAGGTCACTGTGACATACCAAAAAAACTTTTATCTTTTGAATCCATTTTGCACATTAACAAATCTACCATTCAACCGTGCATTGAATACCGTTGCTCCTGCAGTACATCTCAAGATTCTTGACAAAATCCAAAGAAGGATCTGTAATATAATCAATCCTGACCATGCATCTTGACTTCAGTCACTTTCTCTACAAATATTTTCCTGGCAACTGCTCTGATGAGCTTTTTTACTCTGGTGCACCAAATTATTGAATTTAAGCATGCTACTAGATTAGCATCTATGTCCCACCCTTTTACTGTTTAAATAGCTAAATGCAACTGACACTTTTGCTCCAAGTTCTTCTTGCTATTCCCACCTGTGGAACTCTTCTGTTTACTTGCTTCTCTGATAGCTACAATCTTCAAAATTTAAATGCAATATCAATCACCATCTTCTGTCTTCAGGAACCCTGTTCATCTCTTGTCCTTTCCTCAATCCTCCCTATTTACAGTCTTTTCTTTTACTTTCACTTGCAGCAGCCCCATGTATACTAGTGGCATTCCCACCTTGCTTGGGGTGAAATAATTAAAAAAATAAATAAATAAATAAAATAAATGAATAAAATAATATATATATATAATTTATTAAAAAAATTATAACAAACATCACTACAAAAATAGCCATTTTGTTTCAACACTTCTGGTGTCTTATCAAGTGAACTTTTAAAACTCTTTATTCTACATCTAACACCATCACTTGATAAGACACCAGAAGTGTTGAAACAAAATGGCTATTTTTGTAGTGATTTTATAACATGTTTGTTATAATTTTTGAATAAATTATATTTGTCCTACTCTGTATTAGGCACTCTTAAGAATAGTAGATTTGGTTATTCGAATTTATTCAGTATACACCAGTCCTATACTCGTGAGCATTTATATATCCACACACACATACACATTAGTCATTCACCGTAATATGTATGACCATAATTTTAACTTAAAGAATGCAGTTGTAATTCAAGGAGAATGTAATTCAAGACAAAAAATATTTTGAATACACTAATTTCTGAATCTTAATAAATTTACAGACTAGACAATACAACATATCTCCTTTCCTAACAAAACTAATCTGGATATAATGGAGGATATTTTAAAACAATAGTGATAAAATAAAAACTGAAATGAAAGAGTTTGGTTCATTTATGCATCAAGATACAACAGAGGCTGAAAATCTAAGAACTTAAAACTAAGGATGCCTGTATCTACAACAGATTTGCCAATTTTGGCCTTTATTGGATTAATTAGCATCTATACATTAACAGCTCATTTTTATTTTTATTAATATTTATTATTTCATAAGATAAAAAAAAGAGCTGGATGCTAATTTACAGAGGGCTAAATGCAAGGAAAAAGCTATATCTAGGTCCCAAAAAGTAAAATTGGCAATTTGTTTATGTTTCTGAACATAAAATTGTAACCAGCGTTCTTGTATTTCATCACACCTATTTCTATATATAAGACTTCATCAATAAAAACCATTACAAGTCTGAAGAAGTTCTTTTTAAGGATGAAACTACTAATCTTTGTAACATATATAACACAAAAGAAAAAAAAAACACAAATCACATTTATTATGTTCTGATGAACATAAACAATAATGTCTGAAATTGTGTTGTAAATTCTATACGAAATAAGGTCAACTGATTAAATCAATTCATTTCACAATGACATTGGCTTCTTATTTCCAAGTAAACAGGAGGGTAAAGGCTGATACTCATCTGATAATACTGATGGCACAATTTGTTGTTATGAAAAAAAAAAAATAAAAAAAAAAAACACACACACATATATATATATATATATATATATATATATATATATATATATATATAATTTTTTATTTACACTGACTCTTGTCCTCATCTTTGTTGTTATCACAACATTTCAGCTGCTGTGCCCTTCAGTCTTCATCAGGTGCTTGTTGATACAGGCAACCTTCGAAGAATTTTGAACTAAACCCTTCATTTAATCTACAGTGAATGCAAGCAAATATGATAAGCAGCAGCAGTCTCAACAACAGCAAGGTTAGGTTTAAGTCTCCAAGTTCTAGACTCAGGATTGTCTTACAGGACAATAGTATTGGTTCATAAAATTTGGTGACATAATAAGGGTGAGTTCAATCCTTGGGTCAGGCAGTGCCTACAGTGTGAGTATTAAATGACCACTATAAAATAAGAACTAGACAATATCTATAGACACGGTCAGCTGAGCAATAACAATAATAATCTATATATATATATATATATATATATATATATAAGAGAGGGCTTCAATCAGATTTCTTTGTTAAAGATTTTTAATTTCTTTCTCTACAGTACAGGACAAGTGTTTGGTTTCCAGAGATAATATGAACATAAATTGTCCAATCACTTCTGAGCGTTATTATATAGCATCATTATTAATGAGTATCATGTTATTTCTAATTCTATTATTATTTGTCACTTTTTGATATGTCAGTTTATGGTGTAGTTTTAACTTGCTATTTATCAGTTAATAGTTCAATTATTCACCTATCATGATAATAGTTCAATTAATCACATATCATGATCCAACATCAAACATGTGAAATCCAACAAATATTTGTCAATAACCGAAAAATACTATACCTCACTAAACGTTACAAAAAAAAATAAAATAAAATAAAATAAAAGGACTACAAATATTAAAAGCATTAACCATAAAAAACAAACATACTATGAATCTATTTTGCAATTAATAAATAGTATTGATCAGACACTTAAAAACCAAAGAAATGTGAGACAACAATCCACAAATAAAAAAGAAAGTTCTTATTAAAAAAAAGGTGAAAAGTCAAAAGAATTATTAATATTTTAAGTCAGATATTCTCACATGGGAAGAACTTGGCCACCCAGGGAATGAATTTCAAAAGGAGAAATTTTAACTAGAAGAGGAATTTCAGCCACATGTGTAAAACATAAATATAATAAAAATAATGAGGATAAAAAATGAGAAGTAATTGAAAAGGAACTAAACACCGGTTCCCATACACTCACTAAAGTTAAGCAATGTTGAGCTTGGTCAGCACCTAGATGGGTGACCACTTGGTATTAATAGGTGCTGTAAGATTGGATATGAAGATGGTACAATGGATAACTGCTCAGAATTAAAACTCCCAGAGCCGATTTCCAATTTCACTCTGGATCATTACATTCACTTACATGCAAATACCCTTGGGAAAGATATGAATCCACCTCTTCTTCCCCTAGCTATGGGTTAATTAGTAGGGCTAGTATCAGTAAATTATTATCTTCAAAAATTCTTACAATTTAAAAATATTTTATGACTTTAAATGACTTGCAAAAGTTGATAAACCATAAAAAAAAAAAACAAATCAATGACTAAAATGTCTGCAATCACACAAGGAAGAATGAAACCAGGGATTCTCAGAATCCCTGAAGTACTTTCTTTTTATGTGCCATGTCCTTTCAGGATGTAGGTGACCAAGGCTCTCCACTTCTCCCTATCCCTTGTAGTTCTCAATAAGTTTCGTCCCTCTGCCACCTCCCCGAGACCACGTTCTGTCATCCACTTGCTTAAACCCACGAGGTATATCATGCATTGCTTTCCATTGTCTCTCTTTCCCTCTATTTGACCTGTGAGTATCAGATTCTCCAGGCCCTCCTTTCTCATTACATGTCCCAAAAACTTCCTGATGTTAAGTATTAGGCTCCTCCTTGTTTGCATCCTCTCCAAGACCTCATTGTTGCTCACACGCTCGGTCCATGATATCCTTAGCATCCTTCTGGAGAACCACATGTCTGTCACTTAGAGTCACTTCTTCATTTTTGATGAGACCATCCAACATTTGCTGCTGTGAAGGAGGACAGATGTCATGTAACAGCTCAGTACTCTTTTCATTTTTACCTAAAAAAAATCCTGTTTCGTAATACTCCACCCAGCTTTGGGAATGCATCTTTGGCCATCCCAATACATCAAGAGATCTGTGTCACACTTGCCATCCTCTGTCAAAACACTTCCCGGATATTTAAATTTCTGCACCTGCTTCATTTTAGTGTCCCCAACCTGCAAATTGCATTTTAGGCTCATCCTTTTATTGATGGCTATGCATTCCGTCTTCTTGTAGCTTATGCTTAGTCCCTTCTTCTTGTTCTCCTTCACTACCTTATGAAGTACTTTTCATTAAAATTAGAACCAGATTGTCTATTCCAATCATTATTGCTATAACGATTAAGCCATATCTGCTTCTTCAACTTGTTTTAATGGCTTGACATGTACCAGCTGCTTTACACTCCTCTGTGTTCTCCACATCAGAATATGGATTTGCAATAAGTAGGAGAGTATTAACCGAAGTTGTTGAATAACAGCACACTTTAAATGCATACAAGTTAAAATAGGAAAATGGTTTAAGTTGTCAAAGATACTGGAAAATAAAGAAGCCAATCAAATGTAGCAAAATTGTCCGATTCATATATTGGCAACAGCTGGACAGATTAAAAGAAATAAGTACTAATGAAATACAGTCTACCTTAAGGTAAAGTACTAAGTACAATATAATAAACACACTAGTTAAAGTATCTATCTATGCTGGGTAAGAGTTTAAATACTGGTTATGATATTAAAATAGTTCCTTGTTACACAGGAAAAAAAAAAAGATTAAAAAAAAGAGGAAGACATGAAAAAGGGGAAAACAAAAAAGGAACATAAGAAAACAAAGGAAGAAAGAGGGGGAAGGAAGAAAAGGAAGAAGTGGGGAAGGAACATAGGAAAACAAAGGAAGGAGGGGGAGGAAGAAAGGTGGGGAAAGGAAAGGAAAACGAAGGAAGAAAGGGGGGGCCGAAGGAAGAAAGGGGGGGGGGGGAAAATGAAGGAAGAAAGGGGGGAGGAAAATGAAGGAAGAAAGGGGGAGGAAAATGAAGGAAAAAGGGGGAGGAAACGAAGGGGGAAGAAAGGGGGGAAAGGGGGGGAAAGGAAAACGAAGGAAGAAGGGGGGGGAAGGAAAAAGAAGGAAGAAAGGGGGGAGGAAAAAGTTAAAGTCAAAAAAGAAAATAGCTAGATCCCTTTCACTATGAAGAACATATTCTCTGTCTAAACTTTCTCTTGGGTGCAGTAAATGGGTTTCAAATTTGAAGACTTTATATCGTGAACAGATAAACTTTTAGCAATTACTTATGCAGGTTTAAATTTTGCTATATTTATTGAGGAAGTGTATTCAACATAGAGGATAAAATATTTGCAGATGCCAACAAAATGATATATATATATATATATATATATATACACACACACACACACACACACAGGGTATGATGAATAAATTTTGCCATTTTATATTTTTAATTCTGTGCATGCGTGTTGTTCATTTTTGATTTTGTTGACTGCACAGTATAGTAGGGTCAGTTGGGCGCCGTCTGTGACAAAATGAACACCATGATACAATTCACTCCACCAGAAATTTGAAAACAGCATGCTGTACTTCTTGGCATTCACACCAGAACCTCCAATATGAACATTTCAGAATGTTTGAGTGTCAATCTGAGGACAGTGCAGAGGATTTGGAAAGAGTTGGATGAGTCTAATAGTGATTATGCAATTGTTTGGAGAGTTCATGAATTTATGCCTCTATTCATCTACTCACAGAGCCTCACACCTAACACTGAGGCCTACATCATGTGCCTTGAGGAGGTAGTGCTGCTCTGTGTCAAGAAGGTGGCTGCTGGAAGATCCTATGTCTGGCAACATGACTCTGCACCATGCCACACAAGTAAGAGAACTCATTCATGGCTATCCAACAATTTCTGCAACCACAACACTCCTTATATCTGGCCACCTAACTCCCCAGACTGCAACCCCCTTGATTATTATTTATGTGTGGGGGTGCAGTTTAGTGAAAGACCAACAAAACTCCTTGTAATGTCAAAGACGAACTGAAAGTAAGAATTATGGCAGCATTCACCAACTTAAACAAGGAGACTATCCAGAAGAATTGCAGGAGATTCTAAAGTCATCTGGATGCCATGGTTGAAGCCAATGGTGATTTTATTGAATAAATTTACTCTTTAGTATTTCAAAATATTTTTGTACAATTTTGGTAAAATGAGATGTCAGTGTTATTTTCATTATTGCATAATTTAGATGACAATTTATCCATCGCACCCAGTGTGTGTGTAAATATATATATATATATATATATATATATAAAATAAAAATCCAAGTTAGTGTGTATATATATATATATATATATATATATATATATATATATATATATAGCCTACACACAATTGTTTACCCCCAAAAATAAAAAAAATATATAGCATATTCTGTCCTTACACTTATGTTAAAAAAGTAAACAGGTTTACATTCTTGGGATCAGTAGTCCTTTGAACATTAGGAGAACTAAACAAATAGCTTTAAGCATAATCAGCATTTGGTAAACTAAAAGAGAACATATGGAATGGAAAAGAAAAATCTAGTGTTATCAAAGAGATTATTCTATGCATTAATTATTCCTGTTGTTACCTATGCTGGAGAAATGTGAAGATTATAGAAAACTTATTTTTGAGAATGATTTCCTTAGAGCTATGGTTGTTACAACACAACTGTCAAATCAAAATGGACAATATTAGAAAAGAACTACATATAACAAGTAAAATCACTGATTTAGTGAAGAGAAATGATTACCCTGGTCTGGCAATGTAGTTTGAAGTGACCAATCCAGTTATATGCTTCAAGTATTTAAAAGATTTTATCACACCAAGACCAAGAGGTAGACATACCAAGTATGGAAAAGACCAAATTTAAAAGGACACTAATCTCTATTTGCTCATGACAGAAAAAACAGCAAAAGTTATTTACATTGATGGAAGGATTGTGTAAACAAAAGTTGTGCAAAGATTCTCTAATGGATTATACAGCTAAAATAAAGTAAACTGTAAAGTAATAATATTGTGTCTATTGGTATGTATTGTATTTATTTGGTAGCTTTTAAGTATTGTGTGGGTATTGTGTCAGATTTTATCAACTAAATTTATAGTTGTTTTTTAAAGCTTATAGAAATATGAGAAAACTTAACCATAGGAAACAAACCAACATCAATAAGATTTCATTCCAATTAAATATATTTCACAACTGAAAAAGAAAAAAAAATGACAAGACACCAGAAGCTGATGTGTGAAGAAGTGATGTTCAAATGCTAACAAACACAACATATACATACGCACACAATGGAGAAAATACATCGTTGGCCAGAAGTAAGGACCTCACTGGACTGTTTGATCAGTAAGCATCAATCAAAATGGACAATATTGGGAAAGAACTACGTATAACAAGTAAAAACCACTGATTTAGTGAAGAAGAAATGATTTCCTTGGTCTGGCCATGTAATTTGAAGTGACCAATCCAGTTATGTGCTTCAAGCATTTAAAAGATTTTATCACACCAAGACTAAGAGATAGACATACCAAGCATGGAAAAGACCAAATTAAAAAGGACACCAATCTCCATTTGCTCAAACAGAAAAAAAATAGCAAAAGTTATTTACATCAATGGAAAGATTGTGTAAACAAGAGTTGTGCAAGGATTTTGTAATTCAATAGCATTTATTTAAACTTAGTGGATATAATGTTTACATCCAAGCAATGTCATTTAACAAAGACACAGTTAAAAACATTAAAAATACAAATTGAACATTTTGAAAAGTCTGTTGTGAGCCAGTTATGGGTTTCCTTAACTTATTTCAGGCATTAGTAACATCTGTGTTTGAAATTAGGAATAACACGCCATCTCCTGAAATGCCCACAACAAACATGGCAGACTCGGGATGTGAGTTCACGTAAATAAATGAGAAAAAACGACAAGAACCAATATATATGTACAAACAAATGATAATGTATTAACAATAAAGGGTTACAAGTGACAAATATGTGCGTGTCAAATGAATGTAGAAACCTAATGGTCTAAAGTAGGTGTAGTGAGTGAATGTACATATGTACGTGTGTGTGTGCATGTATTGCTCATACGTTTCCCAAAGAGAATGCATTTTCTACAAGAGGTTACATGTTGACAAATAAGAAGAGAGTGATAAAAAATGATCGCAGAGTATTTAA